ATTGGAGTGGAGAGAGGCTACACATAGCTTCTCCAATATTGACTATTTCCATGTTTAAAAAAGATCACTTTGACATATTGAGGGAATCAGGAGAGACTTTAGTTATTTTAATGTACATTTGTCTTTTAGTGATTTGGAGCAGTATTTCATAGGTTTGTTGATAATTTGCTCTTCTTTTCAAAACTGTGTACATGTCCTTTGCTTATTTGTTAGTTGAGGCTTTCTTGAAGGAAGTATGTATGATAAGGAAGTGTGATGCTTTTGTAGATTATTTAGGCCTTTGGTCTCTTTTATTTTGTAATCCAGATTCTGCAGATGAGTTGACCAAATATCCCATAAAATGATGTCTTGCTGCCTTTGGCTAGATGGTAAAACCATCCCTGCTAGCTTCTTTTGGTTCTTCAAAAGCTGAAGCCTTTGTTTTCTGCTTTTATTAATAGCAAGACTGTTATATACATGTTTTGTTACTAAGAGGGTTTTTTTTTTTTTGCTACCAGTTGGGTATTGACTGGTTTTTGAACAAAGATCTCACATGTAGGGGACCAGTAGTTTATAGATGGTCTAGATACTGCATGATTCTCAACAGTCTCTACTTGAATGGCAGCATGGTACAATGGGAAAACCTCTGGCTCTGGAATCTGAGGATCTGGTTTCAAATCTTCTAATATAAAGACTGTGTGTGACTTTAAACCAGTCCCTTCCCCTCCCTGGGTCTCAGTTTCCCCATATGTCAAATGAAGAATTAGACTAGATGCCTCTGAGGTTCCTTCCAGCTTTAGAGCTATGCTCCTGTTGGTGAACTTAGGTAAGTAATTTCCACTATTTGGGCTTCAGTTTCTTTTTCTGGAAAATGGGACTGCTTGGTCTAGCCATGGTCCTATGTAGTATCTCTTTTTTCCTCTTCTGTTGTCATCACAGCAGAAGCTAAAGAGGACTCAACAAGACCATTGGCCTTTTTTATATTTTTACCTGTTTCATGGCTTATCATGACCAAAGAATCCTTCACCTAATGACCCACCTTCTGGTGAGGAGATTCTCGGTTTTTAGTTAGGCTTGTCCTCAACTAGCAGACTCAGTCTGTTGCAGCCACACTGATGCTTGAAGTCTTTTCCACTTTGTACAACATGCTGTTGGCCTAGCCTTAGGAACCCAGCAATCTGCCCACACACCATTAATAAGCAGTGACTTAGTGCTTTGATGCATAATTGCTTATGCACAAATATGGAACCGAAAAATCAGCCTGAAGGACATGGGTAGCTTTTATTGTCTCAGGATTCTGCCTCTGGAGAACAGAGTTCAGATTGAGGATTCACTCTATTCTGTGTGGGTTATAAAAAGATATGCTCCAAAGTATGGAACACAATGAATTATGTAATTCTCTCTTCATTTTACCTTGAGAAAAATTACTTGATTTAGATTTAATTTTATAAATCATTTACCTACTAAAACACTCAGCTTATGAATTTGGAAACAGAAGGTTCTTTTCTTCCCCTTGTCAGGCTCAAGAAATAAACTAGGCACCCGAGGGGTGGGTGGGGGAAACCATTCGGTCTTTCAGGTCTCTAGGTTATTGAACCTATTACTCATCTGCATCTGTCTGTGTATTACTAGCATATCGGTCTTCCTCTGATACAGTCTTCTACAGATCACAAACACAGGTGAACAGTAGCTTTTGAAGGGTTCTCTGTTGATCCCCCACCGCCCACCCCCAGCCTGGGTTGGGGCAGGGGTACACGTGGGAGGGTTCCTTGACAGAAAGCATGGACTCATTGCATATAGTAACTGAGCGCCTCCTATAGCACCTCCAGGCCCTACCTCGGTAGTCCCACTGGATGTTGGAATTTGGGGATATGAGAAGTTTTCAGTTTGCAAACCATTCCTCTGGCTCTGGGAAGTCACTAGCATAATAATAAATGTGCCTCCCAAGGAGGCATGTAGAGAATGACAAAGCATAGTAGGGAGAATCGTTAATTATAGAAATGTTAGCTTGTCAAGGTTTATGATTCCCTGTTATTTGGCTCTCTGTGTTCATGGTCTTCTTTCCCCAGTGTTTTCAAAAGTCATTGTTTCAAAAATGCAAAGTTAGATGTTTTCTGGGATAGCTGGAGATTACATTGGGGAAATTGGTAGGGCCACTCCTCACCATCCATGTGTAGTACCAATCAAGTCCTTAATGTATGCATATTAATGATGGCCTCCTTGGTTTTGTGACTCATACATGTATCTCTAGGACAACATGATATGGACAAAACATGGGACTGAGGGTCAGATTTGTTTCTGAGGCCTAGCTCTGTCACTAACTACATGTAGAACCTTGGGAAAGTGATTTCCCCTCGTGTCCTTATCTGAAAAAAATGTAGAGATTGAACTTTTATGATTTAAGATGTCCTCCAGATCTAAAATTCTATGACTCTGTCTTGAGAGGGTTCAGACATCTCAAAGCAGAATTTTAATTCTTTTAAATGAAAAAAGACTCAAATGTATATGCTGTGCAATACTTGGAAGAACCAGCAGGTGGCACAAGTTACAAAGTCAGATTTTCACCGACAAAATGGAGACCCCCCCCCCCCAATCCAGGCTTTCCCATCTTTTCTGCACCTGGGAGACTTTCAATAAATAGTTAAATGGAGGTTGAATGAGCTTTCATGGTTAGTTTGGTTCCCAGTCAATTTTTATTGGCCGTGAAAAGTAAAAACTATAGAGAAGAGTCCTGTTAATTAAGTTCAGTTACTCAGCAGGATTGCAGCCTTGTTAATATTAGGCAGGCCCTTCTCAGGACAGCCCTTTACTGCCCCATGTTAATTTCTGGTGCTTTCTTTTGACCTATGTGAGGTCCAGCATTCAAGGTATATGAGCTTTGACCTCTTCAGTCAACTTCACCCTGACCACTGGCTTGCTTGGGGTTGAAAGCATTCCAGTCACATCCTCTTCATGCTCTCTAGTCTTGGGTTGAGCTATTTTTGTAGTCCTCTTCTGGGTAATGGGGAGAGGAAGTCCTTTCCCTGCTTGGCCCTAGATCTGTTCTTCTAACTTTTGGTCAAAACAGCACTGATGTTTTGGCCATCTTCTTGGCCATAAGACTGGTATACTCCTTTCTCTGATGCAAGTTTTGTTCTACCTTCTTCCCTAGCCTTTGACATTCTTCCATAATATAACCTAAATAATAAGCCTTTTGTTTATTTGAGCTATTTTGATGAGTTCCTCCACTCCTGTTATATCTGGATCCTTCATCTTGGCCCCATCCACCATGTCTCTCTTCCATGTTGCTTCTGCCTATCCTTTCTTCTTCTCTTTGGATATTTTAGGTTCCTGAAGCCTTGTTCTTTCTCTTGTCATCCCCCCTTTTCATAGTTTAAGCCCTTTGCAATTTTCCAACTTTGTTCCTCTTTTTCCTATTGATTCTCTTCCCCCTTTTTTTCTCTCCCAGCGGACATCCACAGGTTGAGTCTCCATTCACTGGTATACATTAGCACCTGCATTTTTATAGTAAGCACCATGAACTTCAATATATTTTTTAAAAATTTTGTTTAAAAATATAAAATTCAATCTTGTAGGGAAGAGGAAGGACATTTTCTCAGACTTTAAACTCCAAAATGATTGGAGTCACTGATATAGACTGAATTCCTTTTTAGTTGTTAAGACTGGCTTTTGTTAACTGAAGGTATTTGTATATTTGACCTTTGGATTAAAAAAAAAATAAAAACAATCCCCAAAACATAATAAGGAGGAAAATCTTATCCAAATCCGTTAGCCTATAAAAAGGCAGAACCGAAAGAACCTGCCCAAATTAGAAAATGGAGCAGGTCAAAGGTTCTGTGCCAATCAGCAGTGAGATTGGGTCCATGAAAGGCCACTGTGTTTCTAACCCTGGGTGAGATCAGGAGAGGTAGCCTCAGAACAAACATCCTCCCTCCCTCCCCAAAGGGAATTGGCAAACAGGATGTTTCTGTTCTGTATCCCCTTCTAGGAGAATACAACGTCTTCCACCATAGGTCCTGTTTTCTTGCCTTCCTTTTCTTCTTATCCTTTTTTTCTCTATCTTTAGTGAGTATGTATAGCTTTGGGTCTCTTTTCATTCTATATCTTCTTATAGAGACCCTTCCATATTTCCATATATTTCTAAATTATGATTATATTTTTATGGTGCCAAAATATTCCACTGCAACCATGACAATGTTGGATTTAATAGTTTTTAAAAAAATATATATTTGATATTCTAGTGGGTATAAGGAAGCATCTTAAGGTTGTCTTGACATGTATTTCTCTGATTATTGGGAAGTTTGAGCATATTTTCATGAGGTTATTAATAGTTTGTATTTTATATCCCTTGGCAGTTGTCTCATTGGGGAATGTATGTTATTTGTCTTATAGCTGGGCAAGAGTACCTTTATAGATTCTGGGTGTCACACCTTTTTTCTGGTATATTAAAAACAATTTTTTTAACCAATCTGTTTTCTTTCTTTTAATTTTAAAGGTTTTTCTTTAAAAAAAATCATTTTATATAATCAAGCTTGTTGGTTTTTATCTCTGTTTTCTTCTATTTATTTGATAAAACTTTACCTCCTCTCTATAGTGGAAACAAGTACATTTTTCCTTTTTCTTACCATTTTTAAATGATTTAAAAAAATACTCAGGTCACTGTCCAGTTAGAATTTATTCTCTTGGTTTTTTTTTTGTTTGTTTGTTTTTAGGCAATTGGGGTTAAATGACTTGCCCAGGGTCACACAGCTAGTAAGTGTCAAGTGTTTGGTCTGAGGTCAGATTTGAACTCAGGTCCTCCTGACTTCAGGACTGGTGCTCTATACACAGCGCCACCTAGCTGCCCCTAGAATTTATTCTCTTGTATAATATAAGGCTGCAAACCCACTTTTTTTAATACATCTATTCAGTCTTCCCAGAAGCATCCTCTGACGCTTGCTAAGAATGTATGATTTGGTAAGAATTTAACCGTGATCTTCACATAGTAATATTTTAATGGAAACACATTTATTCTGTAACAGGCCGCTTTCATTCGTGACGTAATGATGCCAGGAGAGTGGGATGTTTGTGTCACATCCTATGAAATGGTAATTAAAGAAAAATCCGTGTTCAAAAAGTTTAATTGGCGGTACTTAGTCATTGATGAAGCCCACAGAATCAAGAATGAAAAATCCAAGGTAAGCTACTGATCTACATCTTTATTGAAGTTTTTTATAAAAACCGTTATTATTATTTGGTCATGGTAGGTCATAATAATGAATCGGTGTCTAAAGATGAGTTTGAGTTATAATAACATTCTTGTTGGAAAATCAGATTTCTTAGGCCTCATCCTTGAAAATGAGACAAAAGTTAATAACGCAAAGGGTGTTGGGAATTCTTTGAATGTTTCTCTTAACTTCCCCTCCCCTCACTTAACAGTATTTTATTTTTTCCAATTACATGTAAAGATAGTTTTCAGTATTCACTTTTATAAGATTTTGAGTTCCAAATTTTTTTCTCCCTCCCTCTCTCCAAGATAGTAAGCAATCTGATATAGGTTATACATGTACGATCATGTTAAATGTATTTCTACATTAGTCATGTTGTGAAAGAAGAATCAGAACAAAAGGGAAAAACCACAAAAGAGAAAAAAAAAGTGAAAATAGTATGCTTTGATCTGCATTCAGACTCCATAGTTCTTTCTCTGGATGTTGTTAGCATTTTCCATCATGAGTCTTTTAGAATTGTCTTAGATCATTGTGTTTCTCTTACTTTTAAGTTAACACTGGTATGATACAACATTTTTATATTGAATAAAATACTTTATAATCATAATTTAGAAGTTATTTTTGCCTTTTACTGAGAAGGTCAGTGTGTTATTTGATTTAAAAATATTTTCTTGTGTTGTATGAAAGGAGAGAAGGTTAGCACTCCCTTTGATAATGATGGAAGAGGTCTTAGTGGTCTTTACAACACATATACGGTTAAGGCATTGCCACCTACTCTGTGGCATCTAACCATGTTTTTGGGAGAAAATTTGGAACTGAAAGTTTTAAAAACAAATATTAAAAAAATTGTTTTCACATGCAACCGAGAAATAAGATGTATAGTAAATGGAGGATAGAAATCTATCCTGCCCTACAGGAAAATAGAATGGGAAGGGGATAAGAGAAGAGGGGGAGAGATAGAAGGGAGGGCAGATTAGAGGAAGTGGTATTCAGAATGCATGCCATCTTGGGGTGGGGGGAGAGATGAGATGGGGAGATAATTTGGAACTCAAAATCTCATGGAAGTGAATGTTGAAAACTAAAAATCAATCAATTAAAAAAGAACAAAGGCACAAAATAATAAAAAATATTTTCTTGACCTTTTGTGATTGTGAAAATAAGATTAGGATTGTGAATCACAATGAGATGTGTTGACAATCTTGCTATTCGTTTCTGACAACAGTTGGAAAAACTTCTGCTCTCATGTTAGGGTGAGCAGTCTTTGGATCACTAGGATACTTTTTTGGGAAGCAGAATTAATGTAGAACTACCCATAGGCGCACGTTAGATTCATGCCCCTTAAGAAGCAGTGTGATGGTGGTTTGCTTGTTCGTTTCAGAGAAGGGCAGGCAAAGAATTACAAAAAATTTTTATCGATGTGGCCATTGTCATTAGCAGTTAATCGGAAGCATTTTAATAATATCAAGTTTTTTCTTGCAACGCAAAACTTTTAATGCCTTTAGATGACTAAGTTTCATCTTTCCTCTAGGTCTTAGAAGTTTAATGTAGGGTGTCAATGCAATCGGGTTTGGTTCTGGCCCCTGTAGTGCTCAGGATAGGTGGTCAGGTATGTGGGTGATCAAGGTTGGGTTGGTGAGCCACAAGAAGGCCGTGAAGATGCTAAGCCTTGCCTCCAGGGGAGATAGTGGAGGTTGATCTCTGGATGACCTTGAATTTCCTGAAAAATGTCCCAGGTATGCATACTGTCTGTGGTCTGTAAGTGCAGAGATGCTCATTTTTCCATGTTCCTCTGCAGTATCTTCCTCAAGAATTTGTTCCGTATCAAACTTTTTTTTTTCTTCTTCAGTTTGGTGGTTTCCTTGCTCCGTAAAGAGTGAAGAGAGTGAGAACTAATTCTCTGAGTGTCCTTCTAATGAGATATGTTGATCTACCTGTTATCTGTCTAGCTTTCTGAGATTGTTCGGGAGTTTAAGACCACAAACCGGTTGTTACTAACTGGAACGCCATTGCAAAATAATCTGCATGAGCTCTGGGCATTACTCAATTTCTTGTTGCCTGACGTCTTCAATTCTGCAGATGTAAGTTTAAGCTGTGTGCTTTTATTTTCTCATCTTCACAAACATCTGTTTACAAATTGGATGATATGATTTCAAAAGAAGTGTGGAGACAGAACTTATTAAAACAGAACTTGATTGAATTTATACTTTATTTGTATGCTGTTTCTGTTCGTTTAAGAATTTAAGCTGTTCTTAACCATCTTAAAATGAACCCACCTGGAAAAGTCTTTTTTTTTTTCTTCTTTATCTTAGGGTTCCAAGATTAGCCAGCCCCTAACTGTACATGGCACGTTGCTTCTCCTACTTATGCGATATTGTCCAAAGCAGGCCCAGGTCACCTCTTGTGCCAACCTGCCCAGGCTTGTGTATGAGGCATTTGACATTCAAAACACCGTTGAGGTGCTTTGAGTAGCGCTTCAGCAAGCAGGCTAACGTACTGTATAGAGTGTCTTTAAAATGATCTCATATCCATTTCTCGAAGCCATTAGGATCTGGGCGCTGAAGGGCTCGTGGTGTACAATGATAACATTTTTCCTTGCTTTTGCTAGAAGCAGAAATTGCTGCTGTATCAATCTGAACTTCATGGGGATGAGGATGGTTGAGCCTGATTCTCCTCAGAGCCCAAATTAACTGCCTATAGACAGTTACAAAATTCAGCTGCCCATTATCTCTTATTTTAACACCTGCTTAAATAATAATTCTTGTTTGTCCACTTGTCTATGTGATAACTTTTGTTTTTCTGCATCAGCAGTTTGTACCTTAGATCTAAAGTTCCTACTACCTGTCCATATAGTTAATAATTACATTTTGTTTAGGATGAACCATAATTAGGAACTAAACTGGACTGTGAAAGACTAGATTTTGTTAACTCCTTGGAGATTCCAACTGTCCATGCTCCTGCTGGCCCCTCTGCCTGCACTGCATTTCCCTCCATCTCTATCTGGGTCATCCTACCCATCATTCACATTTAAATGCCACTGCCTTCTCAAAGCCTTCCTTGACTTTTCTTCAGTGCCTCAGTTTCCCTGCAGCCTAGATGTCCTGTCTCCTTCTTCTGTGTCTCCATAATCACTTTAGACTTCTCCTATGGCACCTACCATGCTCTCCCTTATGTTTGTAGTTACTGTGTACTGTCTCAATAAATCTTAATTTAATTTTTAGAAAGTTATGTACTTAATTGCAGATTTTTTTCCCTCCCTCTATAGGATTTTGATTCCTGGTTTGACACTAAAAATTGTCTTGGTGATCAAAAGCTTGTGGAAAGACTACATGCAGTAAGTAATAGTTACCAAGGTAATTGAGTGAATACAAATGAAATGAATGGAGTCACAGGGTCAGCTCCAGCTTGTGGGCAGAGAGGTGGGCAATCCATAGCTTTGGCTGGTATGCCCCTTAGCTACCCATCCTGACCAGTCACTTCCTGAAAGTGTCTTTTGGGGTGTAAAGATATTAGTGATGATGACAGGTTAGACACAATGTAAAAAAGATTAAGATAATTTTTCCTCCTCATAGAGATAGAACTGAATAAACCTTAACAGGAGCACAAAATCACACACTTGTTCCCTCAAGTCTCTGACCCTGTTCTAGATGCCTACTTAGGATATCTTGGGCAGAATGTTGTTGGGCATTTGAGCCTATCCTGACCAGGCCATCTCCTTTTCCCACTTTACTGTTTTCTTATCTAATCTATTTTGTACTATCAACTCCTGAGTGCCTAATTTAGTTCCCAAGTGTGGTACAGAGGATAGAGAGCTGGACTCAGAGCCAGGAAAACCCAGGTTCAAGCCCCAACTCTGACACTTCCTGCCTGTGTGACCCTGGGCAAGTCACTTAATTTAGCAATGTTTAAGGCCACTCACTCTCTAAGACTAGAATTGACCAAGAAGATGATGACTTGCATTTGTAGAAGGAATTTCCTCAGTGACATCCCAGAGCCAGGACTGCTCTCCTTGTTCACCCTAAAGTGATTTCCATCTTCTCTAGAAAAGCTCCCCCAAACTCTTGATACTCTGGCTCTATGTCAACTCAGAAGGTCTACTCATGAGCCCCTATTGATGGGTTTTCAGAATCACAGAATTTGAGAGTTGGAAGGGCCCTCCCCAGCTGTCCAGTCCAACCCTTACACAAAAGGAATCCCCACTGTAACATACTGACAAGTGGGTGTCCAGCTGCCTATAGAACACTTCCAAAGAGGGTGGACCTACCACCTCTTGGGGCAGTCCATTCCTCTTTGGGTCACTTCTAATTGTTAGGAAGCCTTTCCTAGTGTCAAACTTCAATTGACCTCTGTAGTTTCTGCTGCTGGTTTTGCCCCCCGGGGCCTCCAAACAGTACAAATCTATACCCTCTTTGACATGACAGACCTTCAGAACCTTACATAACTAGCAGAAATCCCCAAGTCCTCCCTTGAACATGGCTAGCAGAAATCTCCAAGTCTTCCCTTGTTCAGGCTAAACGTGCCTCGCTCCTCATCTGGGATGGACTCAAGGCCCTTTACTATCCTGAGTGCCCTTCTCTGGATACATTCCACCTTATCAATGTCCTTCTTAGACCATGGTGCCCAGAACTGAACACAATACTCCATATGAGACTTGATAAGGACAGAGTACAGTGGGACTATCAGTGCCCTAGTTTTGGAAATTCAACCCCTCTGAATGCAGCCCAAGGTTGCATTAGCTCGTTTGGGTACTGTATCGTACTACTGACTCATATCAAGCTTGCAGTCCGCTAAACCCCACAGATCTTTTTCAGGACAACTGCTGTCTATCTATGCTTCCCCAGACTTTTACTTGTGAAATTGGTTTTTTTTGGTACCCAAGTGCAAGAGTTTACAGATTTTTAAAACATCGCATGTGTTAGCCGTTCCTCCCGGCTCTGTGTTGTCTGTAGATCTGCCAAACATGCCATCTGTGCCTTTATCCAAGTCACTGATAAAAATGTTAAATGGCACAGGTCTAAGCACAGATCCCTCGGAGTCCTCTACTGTACACCTCCTACGATGTCGACATTGAACCAACCATTAACTACTGTTCTTTGAGTCTGGCCATCTAGCCAATTCTGAATCCCTCTGATTGTATCAAGTATCTAATTCTCTCCACCTTCTCCACCCTAATAGTATGAGATGTTATCCAAAGTTCTCCTAAAAACTAAAGAGAAACCATATACACATCCCCTCATCTATTAATTTAGTAGGACTGGATCTGAGTTTTCATTGGTATAGGGAACTCCCAGATGGGGGAACTCTCTGCAGTTTTTAGTCTTAGAAAGGGGACCGACTGGTGAAGTGATTTATTCAGGGTGACATACCTAGCACACATCAGAGTCAAGACTTGAACTTGGGTCTTCTTAACTTTAAGACTGGTTCCGCATCCACTGTATCTCTATAGTGATCCTGTCAACCAAGGAAATCAGGTTAGTTTGAGTATTTGATGAAGCATGCTAGCTCATTGTCATGGCCTCTTCCCTTTCTAGATGTTTGCCAACCACCTCTTGAATGTTATGTTCTAAATTTTCCCAGGAGTTGAAGTCAAGTTCACTGGCTTGGAAGGTGAAGGTTATTCTCTTTTTTGAAACACAAGGCAACATTTGCCTTTCTTCAATCTTATAGTACCTCTCTTATTTTCCATGATCTGTCAGATATTGCCGATGACTTGGCAATCACACCTGCTTATTCTTTTTTTTTTTTTTTGCTTTTTGGTGAGGCAGTTGGGGTTAAGTGACTTGCCTAGGGTCACACAGCTAAGTGTCAAGTGTCTGAGGCCAGTTTTGAACTCGGGTCCTCCTGATTCCAAGGCCAGAGCTCTATCCACTGCGCCATCTAGCTGCCCCACACCTGCTCATTCTTTCAGGACCCAAGTGTGTCTTCTCTTCTGGGGTCTGGTGATTTGAATTGATTGAGGGCAACTGGAGTTCTCTTGCTCTTTCCTTACTTATCAACTCCCTGTTAGTATACCGTATTTCTTGTGTCAAGGTCATTCTTTGCAGATAAAACAGAAACTCAGTGAGAAGTTAGCAACTCTTCCTTTTCTCTGGTGTCAGTGATCATCATCCCAGCTACCCCAAGCAAAGGTGCTGTCTCTCCCTACTTTGATCATGCCTTTCCTCCCAGGATAGCTTCCTCCCCTTTTTTTTGTCCTCAGTTTCTCTCACTAGCCTCAGTGCATTCTGAGCTTCAGCATTCCTTATGCTATTTTTACAGTATTGTACACACTCTTAGATTTCTCTTCTCTTACTTGGCCTTGCTTCTATCTTCGGTACATTTCTGTTTCAAATCTAAGTTGCTTAGTGAGTTCCCTCTGCACCTACATCATTCTCTTCAGACCAATCCCAGTTTTCTTCTTTTTTCATTGGAATGTTTCCCTTGTTTTTTTTTTTTTGGCTTTTTATTGGTGAGGCAATCAGGGTTAAGTGACTTGCCCAGGGTCACAGAGCTAGTAAGTGTCAGGTGTCTGAGGCCGGATTTGAACTCAGGTCCTCCTGATTCTAAGGCCAGAGCTCCGTCCACTGCACCACCTAGCTACCCCTATGTTTTCCTTTTTGTCTTCAGAATTTCCTTCTTGAGCATCTCCCATTACTCACGGACCGATTTCCCCTTTAGCATTTTAATCTGTGGGATCCTACATATCTTTCCTCTGAACCCTTTGAAATCTGCTTTCTTAAAATTTCATGTTCATGTCAGATGATGCTTGGATTTCCTGTATTCTGTATCACAAACTCTGGAAAGGAGTGATCACTCCCCCACCACATTCCCCAATTCTCATTATTTCCACCCCAGCAACTAACTAGCTCTTCTCTGTTTGGAAGATCTAGATACAGATTAGAATTTTTCCATCTTGGTTCTTCTACCTTTGAAGGATGAAATTATTAGTAAGACAAGTCAAGCTATTAGCTGCTCTTTTTTTGGCAGGGAGAGAATTCAAGCAGATGCCTGGATAGTTGAAGGTCCCCCATCACTATTATCTTGTGCTGTTGCCAGGCTTATGTTCTGCTGCCTAAACTCCTGACCTATTTACTCTTTTCTTTCTAGGTTGTCTGTAATATACTTCAATGATAAAATCACATCTGTGTCGCCATTCTTTGACCTTCATCTAAATTCTCTCCTTTATGCTTCTCTGCTCTGGTTCCTGGATTTCCTCACATGAGTATACCTTCTTGGTGTGCAGTTCTATGCACCATTTCCTGCTTTTGAACAAAGTATACCCATCCAGAGCCGTAGTTCAGTCATGCATTTCATCCCTCCAAGTCTCAGTGAAAACTATGAATGAGGTCAAACTTGTCCCCTTGGGTTGTTGTTGCCTGAACTTGGGTCATTTGGGTATAGACATTTGAGGCTGTGGCTTTTTGCTACTGGTTTTATTCTTGGATTCTGTCTTCTGTGAATTTCTGAGTATCTTAGTTGCTAGTCTAAAATTTTTGTGGACACTCTACTTTTTTTTAAAGGCAATTGGGGTTAAGTGACTTGCCTAGGGTCACACAGCTAGTATATGTCAAGTGCTTAGTCTGAGGCCAGATTTGAACTCAGGTCCCCCTGACTTCAGGGCCGGTGCTCTATCCACTGCGCCACCTAGCTGCCCCTGGACACTCTCTTTAGCAGTGGTGTCAAACTCAAATAAAATTGGATCCCTGTTGGTCACACATTGACTTAGAAAACCACAAATTAACATTATCTAGGTTGTATTGCATTTTTATTTAATTGAACTTCTTCCAATTACACTTCAGTTGCATTCCACTGTGAGTTTTTACACCTCTACTCCAAAGTATCTAACTGGGGGATATACATAGGCAATCTTCTCTTTCCTCTCTCCCTTTTAATTTCAAGTCTGTTTGATTAGATTTGCAAGATACCTGGCAAATTCATTACTATCGACTTTTGTTAGGTGTTCTCCACGTCTGGCCAGAATTTCTCAACCATATATTGTAAGTAGTGATCCCAAAATCTAGATACTATTCTCAGACACCACCTCATTGGCCAGCTGTTCACTGCCCAAACAAGTTTTTCTTTCCTACTGCCCCACTGCCTTCAGTAGGAAACGGCCAACTGCAGCCTATGCCTCTGTGGGCTTCAGTTTCTCATCCATAATGTTCAGCAATATTTTTGAGGATCCTTCAGGAAGTATCATTTGTGGCCAGGTGAATCGCCAGAAGTGGGTAGTTGTCCTCCATTTTATAAGTCTTGAGAGGTAATTTCCCTTTTATGTCTTGAATACATGCCCCAGGAAGACCACAGAGCCCTCTGTTGTTGTTATTGAGTTGGCTGACAAATAGCTGCCTCAGT